GCAAGTTGAAATGGTTGTGATTGTGCATGACTATCATTTCTTAAACAGTGGAAACAATGTGTGTAGGGGGGCTCAATATTGTGGGGTATACTTAAGCGATTTATGGTATGATCCTAAACACACAGCATTTTTTTAAAGTAAAAAAAAAATGGTCCAGCTATTTTGTTGTATTTTATTTTCTTCTCCTTTTATTCATTTTTTTCTTTCTTATTTATTAAACTGTTTCTAAGCACCAAAGCAAAATCAAATTTATGACTTATGTTTACTAGAGTCTCTAGAGCTACATTGGGAAGCCCAGAAAAATCTGATTACCCTGCAGCTTTTGAAACTTAGTAACATAGAACTAACCAATGTTCACAATAATGTATGGTCCAATTCTCTGTCAAACTGAAGGCTATCTTTACTTTTAGCTTGAAGATAATTATAAAGAAAATGGAAGAGACTGTGCTCCATAAGTTACTACTTTAAGAGGCTTAGTTTTGTTTCCTGAAACCCAGTTTGCTCAATGATTCTAGAATGTTCTATTGTTCTGTAATCATGCTGTTTTTAGGAAATTTCTTTATTTTTTTTGTGGCAGGTCTTATTTCCTGTGCTATTATTTTGTAGAACTAATTTTATGTAAGTATGAATGGTGGTAAGAATATAAATATTTCTAAAGAATCAATGTACTAATAACAAAATTTTAATAAAGCCTTTTTTGTCATATTATGCCCTTTTTATAATATTTTGGAGCAAGAGAATGAAGCTATATATTAACAATGAGAAGTCCTGGTATCATTGCTGGTAGCTGTAGGATTCCCAGGCAAACTATGTTACCTGTCTGGGTCTCACTCTTTTATCTAGAAACACAGAACCTAAGAACAGATCATCTGTAAAGTTTTAAGTTTTCTGTAATTGTTTTTCTTCATAGACTTGCACTTAGAAAATAAATTTAGTAACAGCTATTATTAGACCATGAAAATATGTAAAAGTTTTAAGAAAATGTAATATATCCCCTCTAAAAGTTAAAAATCTTAAGACCTTCAGGAGTTCATTGAATATAACCAACAAATTGAAATTAAAATTATTTATAGCTTAATGAAGCAACTTATATAATATAGCAGCATTTATATAAAATGTCATATTTCATTTCTATAAGGCAGGATATTTTATTACAGAGAACAATATATAGTCCATATTTTAATATGAAGGTTATTAGAAAGCAAATTATCGTTTGGAGACAAAGTTATGCAAATCTTGTATAAATATATTACTGGAATTTAAAATTTAGACACACAAAAAAGAATTACACAGTAGCACTTAGCAACTTTAACACACACTTTTCAGTTCATTAGTTCAAGAAATATTTAAAGAGTACTCAGTATGTGCTAAGAACTATACCAGATAATGACCATACCCAGTGAACAAAACTGACAAATACACTACCTTCAAAATGCACTTACTGGGCTGGGGTATAGCTTAGTAGTAGCACTTACCCAGCATGCTTGAGGCCCTGGGCTCTATCCCTCAGGGCAGAAAAAAAACAAGCAAAATAAATAAATAAAAAGGCAAACAACATATTCTAGAGTGTGTGATGGGAGCAGGGTACTGGGAGAGGTGGAAGGGCAGATAGAAGAGAAAATTAAACTTATAGCTTGTCAGAGGTAAAGGGGATAGGGTGGGAAGGAGGACAACAGTATATCTTACTAATGAGGTGATTTTTGAATAGAGATCTCAAGAAAGTGAGCAAGAGAGCTTTGTCAGGTAGAGGGAAAAATACACTAAAGCAGAAAGTCTTTTAGAAACCTGTTAGAGAAAGTAAAAAGTGAGAAGAGATAAGAAATACAGTAAGGTGTGTGTGTGTGTGTGTGTGTGTGTGTGTGAGAGAGAGAGAGAGAGAGAGAGAGAGAGAGAGAGAGAGAGTAAGTTCGTATCTAAGGAACCTGAGGGTCTATGGAGAGGGCTGTCATCATGAAGTACCTTGAAGGTCTCTGAGGAGAAATGAAAAATCATTGGAAGACTGGGTGCAGGGAAGTGACACAATCACATGAATATTTGACAGAACCACTATGTCTGTTACATTGAGAAAAGACCAAGACAAGGAATGGCAAAAGTAGGGAACCAAATTATAAGTACATTGCAAATAAAAAAAAGTATGAAGTCAGTGACTCACAGTGGATATGGTGGGAAAACATTGATGCCTGGATATTTCAAAGGTAGCATCAAATAAATTTGATAATGGAAAGATGAGAAAGAGAGAAGTCAAAAGTTATTTTAGATTTTTTGACACGAGCATCTAGAAGTTTGGAGTTACATTAACTCAGATGAGAAAGACCATGGAAGTGGGAGGATTGAAATAAGGAATGCTTTCATGTTTTAAATTTTCTATAGTATATGAAAATATTTTTGAAATAAAAATTGAATGTTTTCATTGCTTTCTGGTTTGGGATGTTTTATAATATTTTATGTCTTTTGTTGTTGTTGTTGTTAGGCACTACCATGGTATGTGTTCAAACCATCTGAATAGTCTTTGAAAATTCTTCCCTAGCTTAAAATTCATGCAGGTTTAGGTTTTCTTGTATTTTCACTAGGACAATAACAAGCTTTCAATCATTTAAAGTGCTGTTTAAATACTTCAAATTCAGCTTACATAAAGTAATTGTATTTTAAAAAATTTGTCATTAATCATTAACTATCCAACATATAACTTTTGATTAACAAATCAAAAGTATATGGGAGATATATAAAAGAACATTTGTCAGTTACTCCTCTGACACAGTATTAATATTCAAAATATATAAAGAACCCCTAAAACTTAAACAAAAAACACTACCAAATATCTCAATCAATAAATGTGCAAATGATCTAAATAGACATTTCTCAGAAGAATAAATGCAAATAGTCAACAAATATGTGACAAAATTTAACCATCTTTTGTGATCAGGGAAATGTGTATCACAGCTACACTGAAATTTCATCCCACTCCAATTAGAAAGACAATAATAAATAACTCAAATATCAGTCAGTACTGGTAGGATTTGGGGAAAATGCAAATTTATACATTGTTGGTGGGACTGCAAATTAGTATGACCACCTTGAAAAGCTGTCTGGAGATTCCTCCAGAATCTCTAGATTCCTCCAGAATGACTAGGAACCACCATGTAACCCAGCTATCCCACTATTCTGTATTTAACCCAGAGGACTAAAATCAGCATGCTATGGTGATATGTGTATATCAATGTTCATAGTAATGCAATTAATAATAGCCAAGTTATAGAATCATCCTAGCTCCCTGTCAACAGATGAATGAATAAAGAAAATGTGGTATATATAAAAAGAGAATGGAGTTTTACTCATCTGTAAAAAAAAATGGAATTTAAAAAAAAGAAGAATGAAATTATGTCATTTGCTGATAAATAGATGGAACTGGAGAACCTCATGCTAAGTGAAATAAGCCAGACTCAGAAAATCAAGCATCAAATTTTTTTTTATTTGTGGAAGCTAGAGAAAAATAAAACTTTAAAAAAGGATTTCTCATGAAACTGAAGGGAGATTAATAAAGTAGAGAAAGATCAAGGGGCTGGGAGGAAAATGGGAAAGTACTGAGGAATGACGTCCATCAAAGTATGATATGTTCATGTATGAATATACCACAATGAATCTGTTTTATATATGCAATTATAATGCACTAATTAAAAGAATAATAATAGTAATAATAGCAGGGAGATCACTAGAGTACAGCAAGTTCAGGAGGCAGGAGTGGGGAATTAGATCAATTATGTACAGGTACAAATGTGACATAGTGAGTCTCACTATTATGTATAATTAAGACGGGCCAAAAAAAAAAAAAAAGGAAGAAAGAAAAGAAAAATAATTATTTTAAGCTTTTCAATTTTAAGGGACAATGCATTTTAGTCAGGACAAGTAGAAAATGGCGGGGGTGGGGGGTGGGGGGGAGTGTCAGAAATGGGAAATGGGATTGTTGTCGGGCCTGATTTGAGAGGCCATGATCAATTTAAGGGAGTGGTTCACTGGCTCTGGCAGTGAGATCTGCCTTTCTAAATTTGTTGTCAATTACAGAGTCTATCCTTAAAAAAATTCTCTGACATTCAAACTTTTTCTTACAATTTTAGAAAACTGAGAGATTTACAAAGACCTCCAAGTGTGGATGTCTACATTTTTAGGAGCAAATCTAAAATGCTCCACCTTGGACATTCCTTCTCTAGAACTGAACCAATACAAAGTCAACAGTAGAAGGAATGCTACCTATGAAAACCATTCAAGAACTTACTAACCTTCAGAAAATGTTTGTATTTTCATTATAAAAGATTGTAGGTACATAGGGGAAGTTGTATGCAACCACAATATAGTTTTTTTAAGAGCTTTTATGGAAAAGATGAGGGCAAAAAAATTGGAATCTTCTGCTTCAGAAGACATATCTGCCATCCTCTGCCCCACTCCCAGCTCCCAATTATTTTGAGCTGCTTAATACATTTATCACAAATAAAACACTTGTGTGAAGCAAATTTATGGGCACTGAAAATAATGTCAAATACAGTAACTTATTAGTAAGAATCTCACTGATTGATATTTCTCCCCCTTTTTTCCTATTGTTTATGTATCTTGAACACAAACTGTTTTAAGATGAAGAACATGTAAAGCTTCTCTAATTATGTGAGTCATAATTTATAGTAATTGATATCTAGCAGTTTAATTAAAATAAAAGTTTAATGAATGTATAGAGTTCAGTCCCCTGGTGATGAAAATGTTAGTATGATGGCATAACAATGAAATTCTAATAGCAATGCATTCATTTTATTAAAGTTAAAAATTAGAACTATAATAGTGATTAAACTAAAATTTCTAAGTGTGAGAGAGTTAAAGATTAAGTCTAAAACTCTAACTTGGTCCTACAATTCTGTACAGTGTGATAAGCCACAGACTCTAAAGAGGAAGGGGATGTTGTTTGTGGAGATAGGGACATGGCTACAGATTTAGCTTGTGCCATGGAATTGTTTGTCTTCAGCCTGTGTTAGGAATGATTGCAACCCAGCCGCCATGTCTCTTCCAAGGACTGTTTCCATTTCCCTCCATCATTCTCCTCAATATCTGGCTAATTTCTGCTTGTTTCATTTGAATTTGCATTTCCTATTTAAAGCGAATTTTCAAATTCTTCTTTCTTTTTTTGTTTAAATGTGATGTTTTTGTAAAGACTATGAATTCAATATCCAATTTAAATTTTTTTCCTGGTACAAAATGTGGAACCTGATATTTTGTACAATGAATTCGATGCTCAGAAATAATTTGTGATCATATTTGTTGACATAGAAATTCAACATGTTCCTATGAAGGTCCAGTACAAAGAGTGAATATATAAAGCAATTGATAATATTTCATAATGAAGATATTTTGTAAGGCATTTACATTATGTCTCTCTCAATCACTATGACAGCAAAAAATAAATTAACCTCCCATTAACCTTGTGACATGAGGGCAGTAAGATTTTTTTTAAAACAAACACAATTTGTTTTTCAAGTTGTTCCATAGCTTAATAACACTTGGCTATTATTTATGTTTTTTATGTGCTTCTTCAATGAGATACAAATTTTAGTAGGGAAATAATCCAACATTCCTAAAAATGAATTATAAACAACTATGTTTTAGAATACTAAAAGGATTTTTAAAACTTTCATTTCAGCAGTTATTATTTTTCCCCTCATTGAAATAATGGAAAACCAAAAGTATAGACACTTTGATGGCTTGGGGGAAATAGTCTTCATGCCCCCAGGGTCATGTTTCTTAGCAGCCATTGTTGGGATCTGCTTCCACTACAGTCCTGCATGGTAGGCACCATTTTGTCTTCTTCAGAAGGTTCATCTAGACATTGGTTACTGTTAACATGTCTCAACGTGAGTCTCTGTAAAAGATAATCAATAATCAGCTCAGCCTCTTTCATCTTTAGCTTTACTAGCACATCAGATCAAAAAAGCTTTTTAAACAATCCTTTATGATTTTTTTTTCAGTGTATTACATTGTGATATGTTTGTAGAAGGAACTGTGCATAGGTGTCTCTGAGTTAATTATACAACTCTGATGGTTAAGGAGTTATTCTTGTCTAATGCACCTTTATTTGCAGATAGTTAAAGCAATTGGCTAATATTTATCATGGGTTGCCAAAAATTCAGGCTTCTTTGCAAAAAGCCCATTGTGAGCTCTAAGTATAGTTGAGGGCTGCAAAAATTAACAAGCTTTCACAAAAGCTTAGTTTTCTTAGGCATGTGTTATTCAGTAACTATTTGGTAAACATACAAATAGATGTCACAGCTGTGGCCCAAATGAACAAAACTGCTAGTGATGTTCCCATTTCAAAATATTAAACAAACCATAGTATCTGACACATTTATTTTAGAATAGTGATTCATGGCAACAAATGATCTGTCTTGATAGTATGATCACCATATTTTGATATACATTTTTAAGAATTTGAACATATGAATATCAAATAATAGCAGAGATATTATGATCAGATTTTTAAAAGTGCTATGCTTGTTTATTTTTACTTTCTTCATAATTCTAAAAGGTGTTCTCAATTATATTGAAAATCACATTTTTGAAATTTCCAGATATATCTTTTTTAAATCCATGTGCTTTATATGTACTAATTATATATAGTTTTCTTCAGTTTCATAGGCAATGCCTAGAACCACATTAGATGAAAAACTCCCCAACCAGAAAAATTTATGAAGTTATTTGTGGGTATATCTTTAAAATAGCACCCCAGATTCCCCCTTTTTTGTGCAAATTACCAAAATTAACGGTTGACAAAATCTTTCCTTCCCCTCCTTCCCTTCCTATTATTTATTTAGATTAGGACTGAAAACACTCAGAGCTGCCCTGTTGTGAGGAAAGACAGAACAAAGAATTGGCTGTGGTGGAGGATGCCCAATAAACAATAAGCAGGAAATTAAAAGAGCAAAACTACTAGAAGTGAAGGAGATTTCAAGATTGAGACCTTTGTTGTTGCTTTTTAATACATGAATCAAACTATTTATACTCAAAAATGGAGAAAAAAGAAATTGTCAAGGATAGAAAGGCAGGAAGATAGTTGATTTATTCTGTTCATCGTGCCAGAAATTCAAACACCAGCCAGTTAAAAAAGATCCAAATGAAACTAAAGCAATTTTTTTCCCTAAAAAGTTCTAGTCAACATCAAAAAAGAATCCTTCAATTTTGTTACTTACCTGAGGTCATTTGTATATATATTCTCCTTCAAAAAAAATCACTTACCATTTCATGCTTCTATTAGGTCCTTTTTTTAAGAAAGTATGAACTGTACTTATATCTAATACATTATTGCCCATTGAACTATCCCACAAAGCTCTGTCATTATCTTAGTCTAAGCTGATCCCACATGACAGATGGATTCTTTGATCAATGATCAGATCAGATACCTTAGGCCAAATTGGAATAAACTGAGATCTTTTCTCTTGAAGGATCAAATTAAGTATTATCAAACATTACACAAATGATGACAATTTAAAAAAATACTAGTAAGCATTGTTCTTTCTAAAAATGCATGAATATTTCTTTTGAAGGTATTTATTAATAGCCTAAACACACTGCTGCTAAGATAACAAAGACCAACCAAAAATTTCTCCTTTTTACTGAAGTGCAGTAGAAAATCAGACATTTTAGGCTCAGATAGACTTGTGTGAATTCCTCTTCCGTCACTTACTAGCTGTGAATATTTGGGCAAGCCACCAAATCATTCTAAGGAACCAGATTTTTTTTTTTTTTGTCAGAAAATACTTGGTTAGATTTATAAATGCTTACAAATACCCCTTCCTCTTCTGCTAAAAATAAATAGACCTTGAGTCAGCTAACTAACTCTGGTCCCTTAGCAACCTGATAAAGATAAAACAGCTAACTATATGTTCCTAGGAAACACAGTTTATGGTAAAAATGACCTCTGATTGATAAATTGCTTCTGCAACTGAAAAATTGGTAAAATACTAAATTCATGTAAGAAGATAAATTTGGGTATTCTGAGTGTAGACTCCTGTAATTTCCAGTGTCCCATTGGGTTCTTGGAACTGCCTGTAGAGCTGGAACAGGAGATAATTCCTGTGAGGATAAGACTATTAAGCCAGGATGGTTTCAACATCTGGCTGAGTGGATCTCATAATCTTGCACAGGGCTGTCACCTGCGCAGAAGCTGTCTTCCAGAAGCCTGTAGGAAGTGCTGGGGGAACTGCCACAAGATTTCCTAACAAGAGAAACGAGCTGTGGTGGTCTCTGCCCTAGAACTCTATAAGTAGACATGGGAGGTGAAATTTTAGTTTTAAAATGTCCCTTGTTGGGCATTGCACATACCAGGTATGGTTAATATGAAAGCACACTAATATAATATATGTAAATTGCCTTCCATGCAAGTCCTCTTTATGCAAAGGGTCTAAACTTTTCTGACTTATATTCAGAATGTCCTTATCTCAAACATGATTCAAATCCAAAAATACCCCTATTGCCATCCACTTTCCATACTTCCATTGACAGCTATGTTGCAAGCAATTCAAGGTCCATTGTGTCTTGCACTAAAATCCATTAGCTGGTACATGGGAACCAAAAAGCCTCCCTAACCTCCCAAGCATTCTCATAGTAAGGCATTGGACAACATAAAATCACATTTACTGAGTGATAAATCCAATAAAATCAAGTACTAAGATGTGTTCTTATTTGCAATGTTTACCAGAATTGCTCATCAGTTTGCTGATTTTAAATACATGCTTCATTTTATTCCTTACTGAGAAGACAGTCATAAATCATACAAGGAGAGATAAAAGATATTATTTTAAAAAAGTTTTATTGTTATAATTATATAACTTCACCACAAATAAATGCTTAGAATTTTTTCATAAAGTTATTGAAAATTACATCTTATTTAGTCTTTAATAGTGCATTTTCTTAGTATTTCAGATTAAAATAACTATATACTTTATAAGGAGTGTGCTACATCTACAAACAACAAAAGCACCTATTAAAAATCAACAAAATTAAATAAACAATACAGATTAAACATTCCATTTTTTTCAGCTATTAGATATTTTAACTATGTTAGTTTTTTTTTTTTTAATCAGCTCTGATACAGACTCTGTTGTCACAGACATGGCTATAATTAGCCCAAGAAAACGTTGATATTTAATAAAATATTTTATTAATTATATTTATGTACATATATTTGAAATATAAAATATATATATGTTAATGATATACTAAACACTACTTAATATATACAGTCTCCAAATGAATGAGAAGCTAAGAAGCAAAAGACATAAAAAGATGCCATACATAAAATTTTTTTAACCATATTTTTAAAAAGTTTCCAGATTTCAATGACCAAGCATAGCAAAAGTACTAAACAAATATACTAAAGTCTGCAACGTGAATCACTAAAAATGATTAGAGAAAGTAATCAGTAAGATTCCCAAAAATATTCCTAAAAACTTCTGTTCTGGTATAGTTTCTTAGTAGCCATTTTTGCCAAGCACTATCGTTACATGCTTCCACAGTGAGATGTTGAGAGCCATCAGCTACTTTGCTTAGTGAGAGACAGGACTGGGTGGTTATATGAAGAATAGTGTGGGTCTGTTTGACAAAGAAAATAATGAATAATGACAAAAATCAAGTACAAAGGCAGTAATAAATCAATCATCCTGGGCAACACACAATTTCTACTGGATAAGGATGGAAGACACATGTCACAATAATTGCATCCATGGAGCTGTGAGCCACATTCTTTTAGATGGCTTTAATGTCAATGGTACTCAGCAGGATTGAATGGAGATAAAACAGAACTATGAAGAGGAGTTTGAGATCAAATGATGAAACATTTTGGAGAAAGAGAATTTTGGATAAAAGAGATTATGTTCTCACAATCTAAGAATAAAATGCCTTTTAGGGTCAAAAGTGTTATTTTGTGAGTATATATTCAAAGTAGTTTGTGAGTCCAGAGGATTTTCAATTAATTACTGTGCTTGGCCTTCTAATTCCTTTGACTTAAACTTTAGTAGGGAATAGGAAAAGATCTGGGGAATAATTAAGTTGTGAGACTTTGCTCTAGTTTGTACAGTATGGTATTCAATTGTTCCTGCTTGAGGAACATGGGGCTAACCTGAAGTTTTTCAAGTTTCCACATATATATTGACACATTCATTAGAGGTCAGCTGTAAAGTTAGCAAAACTTGAAAAACGATCAACTATATTTTGGCTTTTAACTTCATCAAGGTCTCCACATATAATTTTTCATTAACTAATTGATTTGACTGTTTCACGCTTTCTATAGATGTTCTCTTCAGGAGCATAGACTCCAGAAAGTCCATAGACCATGGCTACTTGCATCCGCAAGCTCAGTGCCAGCCATGCGAGACACTATGTAAGTGCATAGATTCAAATGCTGAATGAAAAGCCACTGTGGAACATAAATACAGAATCAACTACATCTCTTGAGCAGCTAAATGGACACAATCATTGGATTCACTGTTTCAAGCATTTATCTTCTATAGTAAAATGGTAGGTAATTTTACTATAGAAATATCTAAAGATAGGAAAGATACAATTATAATACACCATATATTATTTGTAAAAATGATACTTTTAATGATGTAGTTTTATTTGTTAAGAAGACTAGTTTATTTTTTTAAAAAACAGGCCTGAATTTCCCATACACACTGTTCAAAATTTCTAGGCTAAATCATCCCCTACTCCAAGTAACTTATCTTCTTGCAATAAACTTTTTTTTTTTTGGTAAACGTCATGTTAACATCAAAGACCCTACTGTTAGGAATTGTGAATTCCATGTGTCATTAAAAAGAATGAACTACAGGGTTTTTCGTGTCATAAAACAAAAACAAAAATTGTTTT